ATGTTTCATTCATATGCATTGTGTTTTATACAATCTTTCATTATGGTTCAGTCAAATTATTTGGTGAGATTTTAGACTCAGATCTGAAACAGAACCTCCTTTTTTCTCTCATCTCATTAAAGTTTCCTGCCTTTCTCAGTCATTTACTCACTGCCATCAAGTCAGAACCACTTCATGTCTGGCCCACCAATGTCGTTTTGTGAGTTTTTTGAAATAATTTTTCTAAAAATTTTAATTGTAAAAAAAAGAAATAAATTTAATTGTGATTTTAACAAAAGTTTACAGAAAAGTTAGATTTTTTCATTCATTCATTGTTGCACATTTTACCCCTTCTACTCCCACTCTCCCTCAATCTCCCAGTTCACTTATCTTTTATTTAAAATATTTATTCATTGTTGAATAATTACCTCCCTCTCCCCCTCCCCCTAGTCCTCTTTGCAATGTACCTCTTTTTCTGGGCTGTTGTTGTATGTATAATGTCTAATCATATATTCCTTTTAAACAGTTCTTTCCTTCATCTGGTCCAATGTAGTGTTGATTATCTCCATTCTTAGTCTATTCCCCTCCCACCCCCCAACCCCCCATATCAGACCTGCTTTATAACAGTGTTTCTACTCAGTGAGCAAAATATCTCAGCCACCATTGTGTTTTCAAGGCTGCAAACCATACAGAAGGAGGTTGTCCATCGTTCTCCCAAGGTGGATTCAAACCAGCAGAGAGGTAAAAACTTCGGGCTAGCAGCACAACTCCCTAGACCCACCAGACCACCAGAGTTTCCTCTTCTTCTGAACAATATGTCTATTTCTTATCTCAACATTTGTAAGGATTCATTATCTTTAGGTTGACTGCTTCTGGAGTGCTCTGTGCTTTGAGAGAGTGCAGATGGGGTAGCTAGAGCAGAGCCTTGGCTCCCAAGAGCAGAACTGATTTGGGAGGAGCTGTCTTTGCTGAGGGGCAGGACGTGACTAAGTACTTGGGAGTTGTACGACACTAAGAAATGTCCACCTGTGGGGCAGAGTCCCCCATCCCTGAAAAGGTCCAGTCAGCTGAGCATGGCCATCTATCAGGAAGGCTGTCTAGTGGAAAGTGGGCGCTGGGTGGGAGCTTTAACTAAAGATCACTAAAGTTCCATGTATTCTGACAAGCACGGAGTCTGTTTTTGTTGGTTTTGTAAGGAAAGTGAGGGCTGAAGTGAAACCAGGAACGGATCAGGAGACAGACTTTGATCTGTCTTTTATGTAATATCTTGAAATATTTTATAGTCAAGTAAGGTACATATTTTAAAACTAATGCAACAACTCGTGACCTTTAATAAATAATTGTCTGCCAGGTGCTTAATTTATTTATCTATAAAATAAAGGAACAGCAATAAGCAAATGGCTTCTTCTCTAAGACTTTGCAACCCAACATAATTCCTAATTGCTAAACAACAAACACTTGACAGAAGTGTCTGTAACCCAGCGCAATTTCAATCAGGGACACTCACATGCAGAATAGTAGTCAAAGATGGGGTCCTTGCAAAAAGACTTGAAGCGCCACGTCACCACCACGTCCTGGAGCTGGGCAGAGGTGGTGTAGTCACATTTGAGGATGACCGAGGCAAACAGGGTGACATAGCGCTCGGTGTGCTGGACGGTCACCAGCAAGGACAGGCACCCTGAAAGCAAGAGCCAGGAGGAGACAATGCTGAAGTCAGATCGAGGCTGTGAGGTGAGGAGTCACCCACTTCTCTTCATGGGATAGCAAAAAGCAAAGCTAGTGAGTGAGACATGCTGGCCGCGCCTGGGCCTGACACTGGCTGCTGAGCTCACTGGCAGACTCTGAGCTCTGACTGGGCTTGGCAGCAATTGTAGAGCAAAGACTTGTGTGAGTCACCCAGGGGGACACACAGGAGGAACATAACTAAGGTCACTTGAAGAGTTGACAGCCAAACGACCATGCTAACCTATCCAACAGCAATTAAAATTATATTAAGATAAGGCCATATTCATATTCAATATTCCTCTTCAAAATTCTCAAAGGGAATTGGAAAATCCATGAGTTGCCAAAATATCAAATTAATATGTTTTGAAAGAAGTGCAGCCAAGCTGCACCTTGGTATGCATGATGGTGGTTCCTTGTTTTGCAGACTTGAAACATGCCAGCAGAGCAGCTGGTGCCTGGAGAAGGGCATCATGCTGTGGTGAAAAGTAGAAGATGCTTGAAAAAGGGGGGAAATCTTCAGTGAGATTGACTCACACAGTGATTGCAGCAATGGGCTGATGCACAGCTGTGACTGTGAGGTGTTTACGGACCGGGAAGAGTTTGTTCAGTTTTACACAAAGAAACTATAAAACAGAGCTGCTTGAAGGCTTCTAACAACAATAAAAACATGCTTGTACAGAGCAACCTTTATAATATGTTGATTTTTCATGTCAGTATTTTCCTAAAGTGGCCTATTTCCTCATGGTACAATTCAAACGTCATAGCCAATTCTATGAGGCTGGTCAGCTTGCCCTTCTGCCTTTCTCTCCTGACTCATTTCCTTCATATCTTACATTACAGTTTCAGGCATCTGAATTCTTCTAAGTCCTTCCACTGTTAGTCTCTCCCTCTCTTCTCTGTTTATATTTATGTATGTATTTATTCCTCAGCTTGGAACATTCCTCCAAATCATTGGCCACTAGCTCTATTCATATGATGGTTAATTTTATGTGCTGACTTGGCTAGGATGTGGTGCCCAGTTGTTCGGTCACATACTGGTCTAGGTGTTGTTAAAGGTACTTTGTTGATCAATTAATATTCACAATCAATTGGCCAGGTAGGTAAGCAGTTGCTCTGTCAACCCAAAGGCACATGGTTAGAGGTATGTATGTCAGAGGTATAAGAAGTTGGCATGCTTGATGCTATTCAAAAGGTTGATGGTTCAAGTCCACCCACTGGTGTTTGGAAGAACATCTGGCAAGAAGAACTCACTTCTGAAAAATCAATCATTAAAAGCTCTATGGAACAGGGTCCACTCTGATATTTGCAAGATATCCATGAAGTGGAATGGATTTGACTGCAACCAGTTTGTTGATTCTCTTATTGTTTCTCTGGAATACCCTGATTTACACAACAGCCTTCAATAGGCTGATTAATATTCATTCTTTAGATCCTTAATTTAAATCTCACTTCCTTCAATAAATCTTCTCTGAATAGCAAGTCCAGGAGAAAGGGCTCAGCTCTATGCTCCCAAAGTATCTCATTCCACAGCCAAGCAGTACATTTCTTCCTTCTCAAGGACAGTTTGCTGTAGACACTGAACAGACCGGTTGGGTTTGCTCAGACTCACTGTTCAAACATCAGTGCCTTCCTTGTACAGTGTCTATCATCTATTTGTCACTAAATAAACATTTGTGGAATAAATTCTTGAAGGAATAACTAAAACTAAATTAACCAGGAGAAATTGACCACAGGTGGTAAAAGTTAGCACAGAACATATAGAACAAATATGATCAGATTGGGACAAAATGTTATCAAGAAATATTTGTAGGAGTTCAGAGCTTTTCCTTTAAAAAAAAAAATCCTACTCCATAACTGTCAAATCTATAGTATAGACACATTTAAAACACTAGGGTTGCAGTGATAAAAAATCAGAAAGTACAGAAATGGCATGGTTAGGGGCTCACACATAATTGGTACCTTCCTGGAATGTCTCTGTGTTAGGATGGTTTCTAGATTCAGTTATTACAGTTCCTCTTGAGGGAAGGTGTGGCGTGGAGCAGCTGTCCTCAAACATGAGTGCGCATCAGAATATGCGTAAGAGCTCAGCCCACTGAACCCCATCACCAGAGTTTCTGACTCAGTGAGATGTGAGTGGGGCCCAAGAGTTACATATTTCTAGCAAGTTTCCAGTAGATGTTCATCTACTAGTCCAGTGACCGTACTTTGAGAAGCACAGATCGAAACCAAAACCAAAATGTAGTTTTGGAGTCAGATGTAATTGGACTCAAATCAAATGTTACTATGTACTTAGACAATGAACAAGTTATTTATTCTCTCTAAGTCTCTTTTTCTTCAACTATCAATAGGTTTAATAACAGTACTAACCGCATTGGGGTGTTGAAAGAATTCAATGATGTCATTTCCCTCCAGAGCTTGGCATAGTTCCTGGCACATACAGTTGGTAATGTTAGTGTTTAAGTCTCTTTCTCTCCACTCCTTTATCATGATGTGGGCCAAAAGAAAGGGCTTCAGGGTAGGGTTTCAGCTATAGAGTTCCCAGATGTCAGCCTTATTTTGATACAGTCACCTCACACAGAGTATCTGGGTGGTACAAATAGTTGATCCACTCATTGCTAACCAAAAGGTTGAAGGTTTGAGTCCACCCTGAGGCAGCTTAGAAAAAAGGCCTAGCAATTTACTTCCAAAAGAGCAGTTATTAAAAACTCTATGGCACAAAGTGCTACCCTGGCATCTGCAGGGGCAGCATTAGTCAGGATCAACTTGAAAGCAATTGAATTTTACTTTCCATGAACAAAACAAGTAGTATGGTTAACGCCTTACAGAGCAAATGGGACTTAATGGGTAGAGCTGCATGGTTCTGTCTTACCTTCTGGCCACGCCAGCATTATGGTTTTTCTCCAGGACCTGTAATGGGAAGTGCACATCCATGTACAGGAGGCAAAATGCTGTGCAGGGTAAGCTCTAGTTCTCAGAAATGAGCCCACCCATCCATAGGTCTGGGATAAAGACGCTCCCATGACAGCTCTCCATTCTGGAGAGAGGATTTACAGAAGTATAGAGGGAGATACGTGGGAGGCTTCACATGAGGAACAGAAAATCCGAACCCAAAAGCTGAGAGAGTATTAGAATTACACAGTAGGAGAGTGAAGGGAACAGGGAACAAAACATTTTGAAGAGGAAGATAGGAATAAGCAGTGGCACTTATCAGAAAGGGCAGTTAGTTGAGGAACCCGGAAGAAACCATTTTAACTGGTTTTATGAGAGAGAGTTAAGAGAGTACCGAGTGGGAAGTGGAGGAAATGAGGCAGAGTAGAAATCCTAGCACGGGATATCTTTCTAGTTCATGGAAAATCATGAAGGCTTTTGTGAAGAATAGTAACAGAGTGAAAGTGGAATTTTTAGGAAGATAAAATGACTTCCTCATTTAGTAGTGCTTAGAAAAACAATATCATTTTGAGACTAAACATGGACTAGACTGCGAGAGAAATAGTTACCATCTTTACTAGCTGTAGGATTCCAAGAACTAGGCTGATCAGAACGGAAAGGCCAGTGACCAACATTTCAAGCCTGTTATTGTTGACAGAGCCCGAGTCAGCAGCCGAGGTCATGTGTGGAAGGGTAGAACAGGGTTTAGATTTACAGAAGCTCATCACGGGGCTTTTCTTCTGCAGAACCAATGGGTGAGTTTGAGCCATCTTTTCTGCTAGCAGACATTCTCAACTTGCTTTGCCAATAAGGAGGTTTCTTATTTTGTTATTAACACACCTTCTTTTTTTTACCCCACCCATACCATCCCTTTGGGAATTTTCCCTCCAGAACTGACCAACAATAGACCATGGAGATTTCACCTTTAAAGTGAACTGTAGAAACAGCTGTATGGGAAATTTTAACCATGAAAGGAGTGTCACTGTTAACAATGAACAAAATAACTATTCAGCCACATGTACAAACTGAAATAGGAACACACTGGTTTGTGGCTTAAAGTCTTATGTTTACATAACCCTTTAAAAATACTTTCTCTTACACATTAAACATGATCACTGGGAGGAGACTAGCTGTGTTCACTTCATACACAATAAACATGACTGAGAAACTGCAATGATCCATCAATGGTTGTCCATTATCTGAGTGGGTCAGGGCCAACATTTTCAGCATCACTCCTGCCTGGCTATTCTAAGTAAATGAAGATGTTTGCTAATTAAAAGCTTTCAAAGAAAATGGCAGAACTTGAGACCATGCTATGTGAGCAATAATAAAAATACAATGGGTAGCATTTATTCAGACAGCATTATTAATATCTATCTGTTCCACAGTCGACACCTGGCCTGGTTTTAACTGCTGATACTGAACTTCTGAAATGATTCCATCCACGAATGTGGTCAATCTGATTTCTGTGCAATCCATCAGGTGAGGCCCTTGTGTAAAGAAGTGGTGATACCATTGATATCACATGCAAGAAAATATGGCTAAACAGTATTAAAAAATTAGCTAGAACAGCACACAGAGAACTGTTAATTCAAGCTGGGTTTAGAAGAGTTCATGGCATCAGGGATATCATTGCTAAGGTCAGGTGGATTCTGGCTGAAAGCAAAGAATATCAAGAGAATGTCTATTTGTACTTTACTGACTATATACAAAGGCATCAAACCACGTGGATCATAATAAATTATGGCTAACATTGAGAAGAAGGGATTCCAAAACACTTCATTGTGCTCAAGTGAGATATATACTTAGAAGAAGAGGCTGCTGTGTGAACAGAGCAAGGGAACATGACATGGTTTGCAATTAAGAAAAGGCATGTGTCATGATCATATTCCCTCTCCGTACTTATTCAAGCTTTATGCTAAGCAAATTATTTAAGAACTTGGTCTCTATGAAGAAGAATGTGGCATGAGGATCAAAGGATGATTCATCAATAACCTATGCAGATGACTCAAGCTGAAAGTGAGG